CCAACACCCCCCACATCCCTCCCCAGCAACAACATGCTGTACCCCAAGGAGGACAAGGAGAACCGGATCCTGCTTTATGCCGTGAGTCCCACCCCCATCACTGGGACCAGTCCCAGCGCCCCCCATGTGGCACTGGAACCAGTGCTGGGGGCATACTGGGATCACTCCCACCATCATAGTGGGCTGTGCCCACCCTCGCAGCCCCCCCGAGGTACTGGGACCAGTCCCAGCATCTCCTGGGGCTGTGCCCCGCCCCTCCCAGTTTGGTACTGGGACCAGTTGGTAATCCCCGCTTTTTCCCCAGTGCCGCAACTGCGACTACCAGCAAGAGGCCGACAACAGCTGCATCTACGTCAACAAGATCACCCACGAAGTGGAGTGAGTTCGTTAGCGCAGCGGATTCGTTAGCAGTCCCAGTCACAGCATTTCCCACCCCGGGGGGGGGTGTTAGTAGGGAGCAATTAATAAGAGAAAGGCAATTAAAAAGAGCTGATGGGGTAATTAATAAGAAAGTAATTAGCAAAGTAGGAATTAGGGTAACTAATAATAATTAAAGGGGGGGGGTGAGTGTTTAAAAAGGGAAGATGAGTGGAGGGTAATTAGTGGAGGCAATGAATAAAGGAGAACAGTTCTCAGGTATTTAATAATAATTAGTAAAGAGATAATTGAGGTGGTTAATACGTGATTGAGGGGCAACTGGTGGGTAATTAAGAAAGCAAGGCAACAAGGGAGAAAAAAAAATCAAGGGTGCTTAATGTGGGGGTAATTAATAGGGATAATTATTAGGAGAAATTAATGAGGGGGGTGCCAGAGTAATTAATAGCCTGGAGGAGAGGGTAATTAAGGGGGCTAATTAATGCCCCGGCGTGTCTCCTCGCAGCGAGCTCACGCAGATAATCGCCGACGTCTCCCAGGACCCCACACTGCCCCGCACTGAGGACCACCCCTGCCAGAAGTGAGCCGGGACCTGGAGACCCCCCCCCGGGGGGGGTGTGGGGACCATCGGGGGGATGTGGGGACCCCCCGGGGGGACGTGGGGACCCCCAGGAGGACATGGGGCCCCCCGGGGGGGACATAGGCCTCCCCCCACCACCGCACTGCTCCAGTGTCCCCCCCTCGCTCTCCTGTGCCCTCCCCGGCTCCGCTGTCCCCCCGAGGGCTCTCAGGT